GGAACCTATGACCAACAGATCAGAATTTAACCCTTTCCTGCGTCATTCTCATTATTTCAGTCTCAAGCCCTGTGTGGTAGTCACTGAGTCAATCCATCTTGTTAAGGTTCTTCTCATTCTCTGACCTTCCATATTTCCCAGCGTAATGTCTTTATTCAAGGATTCTTACTTTTTGAGAACATACTCAATATAAATGAAATAGAGTTCCACCATCTTTTCCTCTAAGGGGCACTCTTGTCCAACTACCTTCCAAATAGATTTGTTTGTTCTTTTGACAGTCCATGGGATATTCAATACCAATCACTAGGGCCACAATCCAAAGGCATTAATTCTTATTCTGTCCTCATTTAAAGTGGAGGGTCATCAAAAGAGGGGAGGATCCTCAATAAGATGGATTGACACAGTGACTGCAATATTTGCCTGCACTGTGGCAGAGATTATGAGGAGTTGCAGAATAAAGGACAGGATCTATTTGTTGCTCATAGGGTTTCTATGAATAGTAGTCAATTAGAAAGTACCTAACAACTACGGCATTTTTAAAAAAATTTCTATTGTGAGTTTAATGAAGGTTTACAAAAATGTTGGATTTCATTGAATTTTCATTCATTCATTCATATTTTCTTCCCTTCCATCTCCCTCCCCATGTTCACTTTTTAAAAAAATATTCATTCATTGTTGCACAGATTCCTCCCTCCTCATTTCAGTCCACTTTGCTATGCCCCTCTTATTCTGGACTGTTGACATACAAATGAGACCTAATCATATATTCCTTTTAAACAGTTCTTTCCTTCATCTGTTCCAATGTTTCCTTCAAATATGTTCTTGAGATGATTTTTTAAATGCAAGTGTGATAGACTCAAGGTTTTGATAGTGTTTTTCCTTTGGGTATTTGTTTCAATTTTCTTCAGCTTTCATTTGTATTTGCGTATGTAAAATTGATGATCCTTGCTGCAAGTAGCACCTGCTTTGGTTTTCTTTTCCTAGTTTTCTCCCAACAACCCATGTCAATCCCATTTTAAAACAGTGTTGTTATGTGACTGGCTCAGGACAGGGCAGTGTTTAGAGCGGCTGTGAGACTGGCTCAGGACAGGGAAGTGTTTAGAATGACTGTACACAGGGTCGCTGTAAGTCTAAGACAACTCAATGGCATACTACAACAACGACAATGAGGAATATTAATGATGGAAACAGTTCCCCTTTATGAAGTGGGAAGAAGTTAGAGCTGGCCACTCTCATGTTGAATCTGCATTTACAGGTGTGCAGTACAACACTACAGACTAGGTCATCAGTCTCCTTTTTTACTGTATCTAGCCCATTTTTTTTCCTCTGTCTGGCCTCATACTACTGGTGTTGCATCAGAAAATTCTTTATTAAAGACAGTCATCTATGTTTTCTCTTATGTCTTATTTTATTTCTTAGGACACATTCAGAAGTTGCTTTATTATGTTTCACTTTAAATATGAAGAAATTAAGTTTATATTGTGAAAAGTAGAATATCTGTATCTACTATGCTGTGGTTGGGTTTTGTTTTTTTTTGGTTTATTTTTTTAAGTAACAATTGGTCTAGGGATATTTGTAGAAAAGTCTATTCCTTTTCCATTTAATTATGTTTCCTCCTCTGTTAATAGTATGATGCTTTCTGATTATTCTTTTCTATCAATCTATTTATCTTTCACTAGTGTACTTTATTGATTATTATAATTTTGCATGTATTTTTTTAAAATTACTGTAACCTTAGTGTTACACTTGAAATCAAGTAGAATAAACCCTTTAAGTTAGTCTTTTTGTTTTACAATATTTTCTTGGTTTGCCTAGACTTTTTTGCCTTTTAAAAACAATTTTCTTTTTGTTTTATATACCATTGAGTTGGAACCAACTCAGAGCTGACATTCCAGCAGATTTCCAGATGTTATAAATCACACATGAGATTAGTCCATTGTTCTCCTATCGAACAGCTTGTAGAGTCAAAGGACTTTCCTTTGAGTTCGTAACACAACTCCTTACCAGTTGTTGTTGTTGAATGCCTTTGAATTGAGCACAACTCATAGCAACCCTATGAACAGAAGGCCTGAAGCACCTCTACAACTATTGACAGTTATCAAGGTTCATAGAGTTTCTGGAGACATGTTAATTAGGAATTGGATGCCACTCCTGCTTCCAAACCTGTCATAGTATATTATTGTTGTTATGTGCCATTGAGTCTTCTGCGGTGTATAGGAGCCCTATGTACTACAGCTCTGAACCCTTCCCTGTCCTGAGCCAGTCTCACGAATTCTGACACAACAACCCCCATTGCCCCAGTTACTGTGTCAGTAGTTCACCAGAATTCCCTACATATAAACTTTAAAATGAGTTTGTATCTGTAATTCAACCTGGTGGAGTTATGTTCCTTTTGGAAAATTAATTGGAATCTTCACAGTTTTGAGTCTTCCAACCCATGAATACAAAATACATTTTCCTTTAATTTGTTCTTTTTTTAATTTTGCTTCACTAATTTTTGTATTTTCTGCATGGTTATTGTACGTGTTTTGTTAGATTTATAAATACATTATTTTTGTTATCTATTTGATATGATACACATTATGTTAGATTTATAATTATTATTTTGTTATATATTGGATATTATACATATTTTGTTAGATTTATAACTATACTATTTTTTTTTTGCTAAATGATAATTTTAACTCTAATTTCAGTTGTCCTTGCATTACTTTGTAATAAAACTGATGTTTAATTTGACTTGTATTTTCTGCAGTATTACTATACTCACTTATTAGGTCCAAGAGGTTTTGTTTCCTTGAGTTTTTTCTATAGAATACTTAATCATGCAGTCTATTCATAAAGTTGGCTTTACATTTCACTTCCCAAATTTTTGCCTTTACTCTTTTATATATATATATATAGACTTCTCTTTCCTATAAGATGTTGTCTAGGAATGGTGGTAAAGGCATCTTTGTTTTAATCTTAATCTTAGAAGGAAAATCTCTATAGTTTCACTGTTAAGTGTTTTGTGGTGTTTTGTTGGGTTTTTTTCCCCAGATGTTCTATATGAAGTTGCAAAATTCAGTTTAATTGTAAGTTTAACCTAATGTTTTTTTATAAAAACTATGTTTTGGATTTTTATAAAATGTAGAAGTTTCCTCTGTAGTCTATTGGTATGGATTTTATTTATTGACTTTTTAATATATATATGATCTTATAGATCCATGTACCTAGCTGTTTGCTAGAATGTACAATTGCATTTTATTGGGTATGTTCTCACAGAAGATTTTTGTAAACTATTCTTTTGAGAAATATTTGGCCAAATAGTCAAGTGTTCAAATGTCCTTACTCCTTCATTTGAATCTTATTTGCTGTTGTTATAGCCACCAAAACACATAACATAAGCCAGAACAGAGAAAGTATGAGAATAAATTATTATTTGTTCTTGTCTGGATATGCTTATTTTCAAATCAGCTACTGAAACTAGATAAATAGAATATACTACATGAGATAATTTATGTCATATCTTCTACTCTTCATCTCTAATAAAAAAACAGATTTTTGCTTGTCTACTTTTATATGTACATCAGAGGAAGAACTGAGGTCATGGTGGAGGAAAAAATACATGTTTACTTCTTTCTTCATCTTAATTTCCAAAACAATACTTCTTCCCCCACAGGAAAGAGTAAGAAAATGTTTAATTATCACCAGCTTATTTTAGATCACAGAATTCAATTAACTCAATTAGTTTGTGTGATGGAATCAATGCCTCACTTAGTCATGGTTTATAACTGAAATTTTGATTTTGATAACTTTTTGGAACAATTTTCCTGAAAACTGAAAACAGAACTCCTGAATTAAAACAATCAATGCACTGGGTATTTTTACCCTCACAGCTAAAAAAAATGGCAGTAGGTATAAAACAAGAAAGATTTATCAAATAGACATGATTAGAGCACAAATACAAGATTTTACATTGCTCATTTATGTCTGCCAAAAATTAGTTTAAATTGTATGATGTATATTTCACATAATGGCATCACTGTATGCCACTTAATATGATGACTCAGGCTCTCTCACTCACCCCAGTCATGGACCTCTTCTCATAGGAGACCATATTGCTTCTTTTTTTAAAATAATGTTTACAGTCAATTTTAATTTTAGAATAGTAAGCGATACAAACAATTATACTTTTCTTAAATGTTATATCTCTTACAGCTTTATTATATTATTAACTCCAAAACAGAAGGCTTTAAATAATTTTCCCTCCTTTATTTACCACTTTGTTTTCTAAAAAGTTATTGATGTAGATTCCCAAATACTACTTCTCACATTATTGTAGCTACAACACTAGAATAGTTGACAAAATCAGTAACTGTAAAAACACTTGCAACAACCATAGCATATACTTGTGGTATTTGTAAAGGAAACTACATGATTTGATGTGTCATTAGCATTGATTAATAATTACCACTCTGACCAGAGTAAATATGAAGGTTCAAAAATAAGTTACTATAGAATTTTAGTCTTGTAGATTATAGTGATACATCTACACTTGACTTACACATAATGTTTTATAAATAATTCCAAG